AGCATCGCAGACACTGCCTTAATCGACTGAGCTACGACATGGTAAAAGAGTTGAAATAGAAGTTCTACTGATCTTACTTGATCCCGCAGCCTCTCCGAGACACAAACCAGGGTTTTACACAAATCCCCCCTGCACTCGAGCTTTGTCAATAGGCCGTTTTCTCTCTTCGCCCTTACGTCAAGGGAGAAGAGAGAAAACGGCTTATTGACAAAGCTCCAGTGCAGGGGGGAGTTGTGTAAAACACTGGTTTGTGTCTCGGAGAGGCTGCGGGATGCAGTAAGTTCAGTAGAACTTCGGTTTCAACTCTTTTACCATGTCGTAGCTCAGTCGATTAAGGCAGTGTCTGGGATGCTCCCGGACGCAGGTTCGAATCCTCTTCACGGCCCTTGTGGATTTATTCATTTGATGCATCACGTTAGTGTGATTTCTGTGTGTAATGATGCAACAGCTTTTAGTGATTGCTGGATTCTCACTCCAAGCTCCTATTTTCACCAATTTACTGCAAGTTAATGCAAGATGTGGTAGTTGTGAGTAGAGTGGAAGTAGATTACGATCGTACGTTATTATATTTTTGACCTTGGGTAAGAATCCTGGAATCGGGAAGAGGAATTTAGCAATATCTGTATTGTCTTGGAATTTTTTGCAAAATCTCTGAATATGAGGGGGTAGGAGTACTGGGGAGAGGGAATAAGGGTAGGAATGAGTGGAGGTTAAGGGGGAAGGGGAAATAAGTGAGGGGAATGAGTGAGGGGGAAGTAAGAGGGAGAGTGGGAAAGAGTGGGGGAGTAAGAGGGAGTCAGAATGAGAGGGGGAGTAATGGGGGAGTGGCAAAAGGACCTCACACCAACACTCCCAACACTGCCACACACCACCACTCCCAACACTGCCACACACCACCACTCCCAACACTGCCACACACCAACACTCCCAACACTGCCACACACCACCACTCCCAACACTCCCAACACTGCCACACACCACCACTCCCAACACTGCCACACACCACCACTCCCAACACTGCCACACACCACCACACACCACCACTCCCACACACCAACACTCCCAACACTACCACACCAACACTCCCAACACTGCCACACACCACCACTCCCAACACTGCCACACACACTCCCCAACACTGCCACACACCAACACTCCCAACACTGCCACACACCAACACTCCCAACACTACCAACACTGCCACACACACCACTCCCAACACTACCACACACCACCACTCCCAACACTACCACACACACCACCACTCCCAACACTGCCACACACCACCACTCCCAACACTGCCACACACCACCACTCCCAACACTGCCACACACCAACACTCCCAACACTGCCACACACCCCACTCCCAACACTACCACACACCACCACTCCCAAACACTGCCACACCACACTGCCACACCACCACCAACACTGCCACACACTGCCACACACACACCACCACTCCCAACACTGCCACACACCAACACTCCCAACACTGCCACACACCACCACTCCCAACACTGCCACACACCACCACTCCAACACACACACTCCCAACACTGCCACACACCAACACTCCCAACACTGCCACACACCACCACTCCCAACACTGCCACACACCACCACTCCCAACACTGCCAACACACCACCAACACTCCCACTCCCACTCCCAACACTGCCACACACACTCCCAACACTCCCAACACTGCCACACACCACCACTCCCAACACTGCCACACACCACCACTCCCAACACTCCACACACCACCACTCCCACACTCCACACACACTCCCACACACACACCACCACCACCACTCCCAACACTGCCACACACCACCACTCCCAACACTGCCACACACACACAACACCACACTCCCAACACTCCCAACACTGCCACACACCAACACACTCCAACACTACCACACACCACCACTCCCAACACTGCCACACACCACCACTCCCAACACTCCCAACACTGCCACACACCAACACTCCCAACACTGCCACACACCACCACTCCCAACACTGCCACACACCACCACTCCCAACACTGCCACACACCACCACTCCCAACACTGCCACACACCACCACTCCCAACACTGCCACACACCACCACTCCCAACACTGCCACACACCACCACTCCCAACACTGCCACACACCAACACTCCCAACACTCCCAACACTGCCACACACCAACACTCCCAACACTGCCACACACCACCACTCCCAACACTGCCACACACCACCACTCCCAACACTGCCACACACCACCACTCCCAACACTCCCAACACTGCCACACACCACCACTCCCAACACTGCCACACACCCACCACTCCCAACACTGCCACACACCACCACTCCCAACACTCCCAACACTGCCACACACCACCACTCCCAACACTCCCAACACTGCCACACACCACCACTCCCAACAACACTACCACACACCACCACTCCCAACACTCCCAACACTGCCACACACCACCACTCCCAACACTGCCACACACCACCACTCCCAACACTCCCAACACTGCCACACACCACCACTCCCAACACTACCACACACCACCACTCCCAACACTCCCAACACTGCCACACACCACCACTCCCAACACTGCCACACACCACCACTCCCAACACTGCCACACACCACCACTCCCAACACTACCACACACCACCACTCCCAACACTCCCAACACTACCACACACCACCACTCCCAACACTGCCACACACCACCACTCCCAACACTGCCACACACCACCACTCCCAACACTGCCACACACCACCACTCCCAACACTCCCAACACTGCCACACACCACCACACACCACTCCCAACACTGCCACACACCACCACTCCCAACACTCCCAACACTGCCACACACCACCACTCCCAACACTGCCACACACCACCACTCCCAACACTGCCACACACCAACACTCCCAACACTACCACACACCACCACTCCCAACACTACCACACACCAACACTCCCAACACTACCACACACCACCACTCCCAACACTGCCACACACCACCACTCCCAACACTGCCACACACCACCACTCCCAACACTGCCACACACCAACACTCCCAACACTGCCACACACCACCACTCCCAACACTACCACACACCACCACTCCCAAACACTGCCACACACCACCACTCCCAACACTGCCACACACCACCACACCCCAACACTGCCACACACCACCACTCCCAACACTCCCAACACTGCCACACACCACCACTCCCAACACTCCCAACACTGCCACACACCACCACTCCCAACACTACCACACACCACCACTCCCAACACTGCCACACACCACCACTCCCAACACTGCCACACACCAACACTCTCCCAACCAACACTCCCACACACCACCACTCCCAACACTGCCACACACCACCACTCCCAACACTGCCACACACCACCACTCCCAACACTGCCAACACTACCACACACCAACACTCCCAACACTACCACACACCACCACTCCCAACACTACCACACACCAACACTCCCAACACTGCCACACACCACCACTCCCAACACTACCACACACCACCACTCCCAACACTGCCACACACCAACACTCCCAACACTGCCACACACCACCACTCCCAACACTCCCACACACCACCACTCCCAACACTCCCAACACTGCCACACACCACCACTCCCAACACTCCCAACACTGCCACACACCACCACTCCCAACACTCCCAACACTGCCACACACCACCACTCCCAACACTGCCACACACCACCACTCCCAACACTGCCACACACCACCACTCCCAACACTGCCACACACCACCACTCCCAACACTGCCACACACCAACACTCCCAACACTGCCACACACCAACACTCCCAACACTGCCACACACCACCACTCCCAACACTGCCACACACGTGTTGGGAGTGATAAGAATTGTAGAAATCTCGCACAAAAATGACTGCAAATTTTAAAATACATGGGAAGATTAAAGTAAAAATATTTATGATAAAATGTAACAGTAATTATGGACTGTTCCGGGAAGGTTTTTCGACTTGTTTGCGGTAGTGCAGCAGCAGCAGCAGCAGCAGCAGCAGCAGCAGCAGCAGCAGCAGCAGCAGCAGCAGCAGCAGCAGCAGCAGCAGCAGCAGCAGCAGCAGCAGCAGCAGCAGCAGCAGCAGCAGCAGTAGCAGCAGCAGCAGCAGCAGCAGTTGCAGCAGCAGCAGCACCAGCAGCAGCAGTAGCAGCAGCAGCAGCAGCAGCAGCAGCAGCAGCAGCAGCAGTAGCAGCAGCAGCAGCAGCAGCAGCAGCAGCAGCAGTAGCAGCAGCAGCAGCAGCAGCAGCAGCAGGAGCAGCAGCAGCAGCAGTAGCAGCAGCAGCAGCAGTAGCAGCAGCAGCAGCAGCAGCAGCAGCAGCAGCAGCAGCAGCAGCAGCAGCAGCAGCAGCAGCAGCAGCAGCAGCAGCAGCAGCAGTAGCAGCAGCAGCAGCAGCAGTAGCAGCAGTAGCAGCAGCAGCAGCAGCAGCAGCAGTAGCAGCAGCAGCAGCAGCAGCAGCAGCAGCAGCAGCAGCAGCACCAGCAGCAGCACCAGCAGCAGCAGCAGCAGCAGCAGCAGCAGCAGCAGCAGTAGCAGCAGCACCAGCAGCAGCAGCAGCAGCAGCAGCACCAGCAGCAGCAGCAGCAGCAGCAGTAGCAGCAGCACCAGCAGCAGCAGCACCAGCAGCAGCAACTTCAGCAGTAGCAACAGTAGCAGTAGCAACTGCCGCAGTAGCAACAGTAGCAGTAGCAGTAGCAACAGTAGCAGTAGCAGTAGCAACAGTAGCAGTAGCAGTAGCAACAGTAGCAGTAGCAACTGCAGCAGTAGCAACTGCAGCAGTAGCAACAGTAGCAGCAGCAGCAGCTTTCAAGCGGGAGATGAGTAACAGGCATCACCCGCAGCTTCCTTACCAAAATGTGTATCATTATATCAGGTTAATAATTTATCTTCCCCACAGATGAGTCGCTTGCTGAGTGGCCGCCGGAAGGCTGAGAAGTCAGCACAGCAAGGACACAAGCGCCAGAACAGTCAGCACCGTATGGTGACGAAGGAGAAGTCAGTACAACAAGGACACAAGCGCCAGTATAGTGCCGTGTTGTGGGTATTGTTCATGATGGTCACTACTGTGCCCTCTGCTCTAGCACTCCCGCACCCCGCTCCTGCTATCTCATTTCCTCCTGCTTATCCAACAACACCTTACCCAACACCACCTTATCCAGCACGTCCTTATCCAACAACACCTTACCCAACACCACCTTATCCAGCACGTCCTTATCCAACAACACCTTCCCTAACACCACCTTCCCTAACACCTGGTGCCCGAGCACAGGTTTACCCAGCGCCTGCCCACTCAGCACCACATCAAGCATCAGATGACAGGACATCTCTTGTTTCGGCCTCTGTTGATGACGCACCTGCTAGCCGGCTACCTGTTGATGACGCACCTGCTAGCCGGCTACCTGTTGATGACGCACCTGCTAGCCGGCTACCTGTTGACCAGAATTACACAGGTATTTGATGGTTAATATATTATCAGAATCCATAACACCTCACCTCACACACACACACACACACACACACACACACACACACACACACACACACACACACACACACACACACACACACACACACACACACACACACACACACACACACACACACACACACACACACACACACACAACAGTAGAAGGCCCAGGCAGGAGTACGAGGACAGCAACAAGACATGTATGGATGAACTGCAGAGGGCAGCAACTTTAGCGCATAGAATGAGAGCGAAGCTGCTGGTCATGGGGGACCTAAATCACGGAGAGATAAATTGGGAAACGAGGAATCCCCATGGCGGGGAGGAGACCTGGGGAGCGAAGCTGGTAGACGTTATTGACAGGAATTTCCTAACACAGCATGTGAAAGAAGATACTAGGGAAAGAGGAGGGGATACGCCCAGCCTATTAGATCTCATTATCACTCAGAATGTAGAAGACATCGAGCAGTTGGAACATGAAATACCACTAGGAGCTAGTGACCATTGTGTCCTAGTCTTTGACTATATGATGGAGCTTAAAATTGTGACCAAAGGACAAGAGGTCCGGGAAAGGAGACTTGATTACAGAAAAGGGGACTACAGAAGGATAAGGGACTACCTGGGAGAAGCGCAGTGGGAGGAAGAACTTAGAGGAAAAACAGTGCAAGGTATGATGAACCAAGTCATATTGAAATGCAAGGAGGCTGAAGATAGATTTATTCCAACAATAAAGGAAAAAAGCAGGAGGGAATATAATAACCCATGGTTTAATAGACAGTGTCAGGAAGCAAAGGTGAGAAGCAGGAGGGAGTGGAGGAAGTACAGAAGACAAAGGACAGAGGACAACAGGATTAGATGTAACAGAGCTAGGAATGATTACATTAACATAAGATGAGTGTCGGAAAGGAATTATGAGAACGATATTGAAGTCAAAGCGAAAAAGCAACCAAAATTACTACATAGCCATATAAGAAGGAAGATGTCGGTAAATGACCAAGTGACAAGACTGAGGAAAACAGAAGGGGCATATACAGAAAGCGACAAGGAAATCTGCGAGGTACTGAATGCAAAATTCCATGGAGTGTTCACAACCGAGCCTGAGCAGCTCCCATTGTTAGAAGAGATTACCCAAGATGAAAGACTATCGGATATAGAGGTGACAGCAGAGGATGTAATGAAACAGTTGACAACACTGGATGCAAATAAAGCTGTTGGACCAGACAAAGTATCACCGTGGATACTCAAGGAGGCAGCGCAGGCTCTCAGTGTGCCTCTGGCAATGATCTTTAATGAGTCACTTATGTCGGGAGAATTGCCCAGTTGCTGGAAGGAGGCAAATGTCGTACCGATTTTCAAAAAGGGTGATAGGGAGGAGGCACTTAACTCCGTATCACTGACAAGACCCGTATCACTGACAAGCATCCCCTGCAAAATACTTGAAAGAATAATTAGGCTAAGACTTGTTGAGCACCTGGAGAGCATTGGGTTTGTAAACAAGCACCAACATGGGTTCTGGACAGGGAAATCATGCCTAACAAACCTTTTAGAATTCTATGATAAAGTAACAAGGATAAGGCAGGACAGAGAAGGCTGGGCAGACTGCATATTTCTTGACTGCCAAAAGGCCTTTGATACGGTACCGCACATGAGACTGCTATACAAACTTGAGAGGCAGGCAGGAGTAAGCGGAAAGGCCCTAGTATGGGTGAAGAACTACCTAACAGGAAGGAGCCAGAGGGTAATGGTAAGGGGCGAAAAGTCGGACTGGCGAACAGTAACAAGTGGAGTACCTCAAGGATCGGTGCTGGGACCAATCCTCTTTCTAATTTACGTAAATGATATGTTTACAGGAGTGGAATCATACATGTCAATGTTTGCAGATGACGCAAAATTAATGAGAAGAGTTGTGACAGACGAGGATTGTAGGATCCTCCAAGAGGACTTAAACAGGCTGCAGAGATGGTCAGGGAAATGGCTACTGGAGTTTAACACCAGTAAATGTAAAGTTATGGAAATGGGATCAGGTGACAGGAGACCAAAGGGACAGTACACAATGAAGGGGAACAGCCTACCTGTAACGATTCGAGAAAGAGACCTGGGAGTGGATGTGACACCTAATCTAACTCCTGAGGCACATATAAATAGGATAACGACAGCAGCGTACTCTACACTGGCGAAAATTAGAACTTCATTCAGAAACCTAAATGAGGAAGCTTTTAGGGCGCTTTACACTGCCTACGTGAGACCCGTCTTAGAGTATGCCGCGCCATCATGGAGCCCCCACCTGAAGAAACACATAAAGAAACTGGAGAAGGTTCAGAGGTTTGCGACGAGGCTTGTCCCAGAGCTACGAGGGATGGGATATGAAGAGCGGCTGAAGGAACTGAACCTTACGACACTAGAGAAAAGAAGGGAGAGAGGAGATATGATAGGGACATATAAAATACTCAGGGGAATTGACAAAGTGGAAATAGATGAAATGTTCACACGTAATAATAACAGAACGAGGGGACATGGGTGGAAACTGGAAACTCAGATGAGTCACAGAGATGTTAGGAAGTTTTCTTTTAGCGTGAGAGTAGTAGAAAAATGGAATGCACTTGGGGAACAGGTTGTGGAAGCAAATACTATTCATACTTTTAAAACTAGGTATGATAGGGAAATGGGACAGGAGTCATTGCTGTAAACAACCGATAGCTAGAAAGGCGGGATCCAAGAGTCAATGCTCGATCCTGCAAGCACATATAGGTGAGTACATATAGGTGAGTACACACACACACACACACACACACACACACACACACACACACACACACACACACACACACACACACACACACACACTGTATTTTATGGGGGCCTCGTAGCCTGGTGGATAGTATAATTGGATAGTATATAAAGGATAATTCTGTGGCGCGGGTTCGATTCCCGCACGATGCAGGAACAAATGGGCAAAGTTTCTTTCACCCTGAATGCCCCTGTTACCTAGCAGTAAATAGGTACCTGGGAGTTAGTCAGCTGTCACGGGCTGCTTCCTGGGGTGTGTGTGTGTGTGTGTGGTGTGGAAAAAAAAAAGTAGTTAGTAAACAGTTGATTGACAGTTGAGAGGCGGGCCGAAAGAGCAAAGCTCAACCCCCGTAAAAACACAACTAGTAAACACAACTAGTAAACACACACACACACACACACACACACACACACACACACACACACACACACACACACACACACACACACACACACACACTGGTGGTGGCGTTGGTGGCTGAATGGACAGCACGCTGGATACGTAGTCCTGTGGTCCGAGATTCGATTCCCGGCGCCGGTGGTAACAGATAGGCAGAGTTTCTTTCACCCTGATGAGCCTGTTACCTAGCAGTAAATAGGTAACTGGGAGTTACAGCTGTTATGGGCTGCTTACCGGGGATGTGTGTGTGTGTGTGTGTGTGTGTGTGTGTGTGTGTGTGTGTGTGTGTGTGTGTGTGTGTGTGTGTGTGTGTGTGTGTGTGTGTGTGTGTGTGTGTGTGTGTGTGTGTGTGTGTGTGTGTGTGTGTGTGTGTGCATGTGTGTGTGTGCGTGTGTGTGTGGGAATAAAAATTGGTTAGTATTTAGTAACAGTTGATTGATTGACAGTTGGGAGGCGGGCCGAAAGAGCAGAGTTCAACCCTCTCAAGCACAACTAGGTGAATACACAACTGAAGGAATGATCAAACATATGGTTGTTAGAGTTTAACCCAAACAAATGTAATGTGATGAAGATAGGTGTAGGGAGCAGCAGACCAGATACAAGGTATCATTTGGGAGAAATTCTGCAAGAATCAGAGAGAAAGAAAGAGCTGAGGGTTGACATTTTGTTTTTATTATTTACTAGCTATACCTGGCCATGCATAGCTGTGGCTCAGCAACGCAACATTCCCTTGTCTCCCAGTTCTCCCCACCATTTTCCCCTCCCCGTCCCCTCGTCCTCTACCCCATTCCCCCTCTCCTCCGTCCCCTTGTCCTCCCCCACCATTCTCCATTCCCTGTCCCCTCGTCCCCGCCATCCCCAACTGCCCCATCCCATCGTCCCACCATTACCCTCTATCCTGTCCCCTCGTTCCATCATTACCCCCTATCCTGTCCCCTCATTCCATCATTACCCCCTATCCTGTCCCCTCGTCCTGCCAACCATCCTCTACTCCCGTTCCCTCGTCCTCCCCACCATTCCCCTCTCCCTCGTCCAATGAATACCCAAATGATCTGATGTTCCCATCACTGAATTACAAGAAAAACAGTTAAAAAAATGAAATTGAAAAAAAAAAAACTATATTCACGAAATGAACGGTATGGTAAACACAGCTCAATTCCAATGCAAAATATTATTTTACACAAAATAATTCAATAAAAATGAAAATTTATCAAAATCTAGGAAAATTAAATTCATCAAGGAAATCAGAAATATTGAAATGGAATCGTAACATATTTAGTATAGCATGTGTTGCTCTTATGTGCAACAGATGGCGCTGTTAACGAAAAAAAATGTTTTTACCTGTCATTGGTGTGGCATCTATACTTATACTCATGAAATTAATGATATGGTAAACAACATAGCTTAATTCCAACGCAATGTCACACAAAATATTTATATCAAAATGAAAACAAATAAAAATTTATGAATATTCAATTTGCCAATGCAATCGTAAATATTGAAATGGAATCGTAACATATTTAGTATAGCGTGTGTTGCTATTACGTGCAACAGATGGCGCTGTTTCTTAAAAAAAGAATATTTTTTTACCTGTCAGAGGTGTGGCATCTATATAGTAGGTATATAAAAACATGTGCGTATTCAAATGGAACGTTGTGTAAAAATTTCAAAGCAATCGGTGAAGAATGTTCGGAGATTACAGCGTCTGTTGCTCTTACGTCCAACAGATGAGGCTGTTTAATAAAAAAAAAAAATCCTGTCACAGGTGATGAATGTATATAGTAGGTATATAAAACCATGCACCTATTCGAATGCAAAGGTGTGTCAAAATTTCAAAACAATCCGTAAAGAGGTTTCGAAGATTTCCCTCACATGAAAAACATAGTTTTTCAAAAAAGCATGTTTTTTCCCCGTCGCAGACATGACATCTATGTAAAATGTAAATAAAACCCCGCTCTGGTAGGAACGAAATGTTGTGAAATTTTCAAAACAATCGGTGAAGAACTTTCGGAGATTAGCGATTTTGAACAAATGAACATTTCCATTTTCATTTATATAGATTTATATGAAACCTCTGAAGAATCAACCAACACAACACAACACTTGTACCCCCTATTAGACTATTTTACAGGAACTTCTTTTCGACGGCTCATAAAACGGAGGAAAAGGTCCTGAAAGATATTGTGGATAGGAACATTATCCCTACAGACAAAAATCAGAAAATACAATTGACCATTTACTATAAGCCAAAAAAAAAACGGGAAATCTACTCATGAAAAATTCCCCAGACACTAAGCAGAACCCTTTGAAGGAAACCAACGTCGTCTATGCCTTTAAATGCCCACTTGGAAACTGTAAGCCCCAAAGAACTCAGTATATAGGCAAGACAACAACGTCTCTTTCCAGGCGATTAGCAATGCATAAACAACAGGGTTCCGTCAAGGAACATATATTCTCTTCTCACAACCAGACCATCACCAGAAAAATCTTAACAAACAACACAGACATTATCGATAGGTACAGCGATAGCAGTCGGATCGACATCAGCGAATCACTACACAACAAAAAGTCAACACCAGCAGTCAACAGCCAATTAATACACAACTATATTCTACCCACTTCAAGACCCCGAACCAACATAGAAGCAGCAAGGAGAGGTATGGGCCAATAGGCCTTCTGCAGTTACTTCCATTCTTATGTTCTCATACACAACTTATACCCATTGTTTCGTGTTCTGTCTTGTGTTTGTCACAAGCCTGTTCACCTCACCCAAATCTTTTGTACCATATCACCTCGCCCAAAAACGAGTATAAGAACGATGAAATTGTGTGTAAATTAAGTCTTGGCAAATGTAATAAGCCATCACGAAACGCGTTCAGGCGTCAGACCATAAATAAAAATGAATTTTGGAGAATTGATACTTCCATTACCACCGACAGTGAAGAAAAACATAAGAAATATTGAGAAAATTCGTTTTACAATTATTAATCTTACCTTTTCGGTCATATTCTTCAACATATGTTTACAAGAAAGACTGCTACCAAAATATACTATATATATATATATATATATATATATATATATATATATATATATATATATATATATATATATATATATATATATATATATATATATATATATATATATATATATATATATATATATATATATATATATATATATATATATATATATATATATTTATATATATATATATAAATATATAGTATATATAGTATTTATATATAGTGTGTATATATATATATATAAATATATAGTATAAATATATAATATATTAATATAGTATATCTTGGTAGCAGTCTTTCTTTTATTCACGTATGTATACACGTATATATACACATATGTATTACGACCATCAGATTCTCCTTTGTTGATCATTCAGTTGGCACAATCACAGGTTGTGAGTTTCTTCAAAATAATTCATGACATTGACAAATTTGTTATTGATTGGCTTTCGAGCCTAAACAAATGTATTTTTTGTTCATGTTTGAGCACAGAATTATTTGAATACAGGATCGCGTGAGCACCAAGTATTGAATAGTTAAATTTGTTTACCACATTGAAAGCCCAAAAAGTTGTAGTAATAGTAGATTTTATTATAGTAGATTTTCAGGGTGTAACAGTTTTCAGGTGTGATGACGGTATTGTTCCTAGGGACATCTTGTTCCAAATTTTATACATTGCCATTTATTGTGACAGCTTCTTATCCTAGAAGTACTTAGTCTCTTATCAATCCAAATATTTTTGCAGTTAAATCAACTTTCTTGTTAAGAATGTTTAATGACGAACTCCTGTGGGACAGTGTCAAATATTATCTGACACTCCGAAAAGTTATTGTCTCCTGTGATATCACTCAACTCGTCATAAAATTTAACAGGTTTTCAATATTTGACTTACCTTCACCTAACCCATTAATGTTTAGAAAAAAGTTCCATGCTTCTATATTGTCCACGAATCTTCTGATTAGTCTCACATGCCTGGCAAGGATATACCTTATATCACCTCTATGTACCTCAGTGTTCATGCTGTCTACATGTCGTATATTTAAGATTATCACCGATTCATATTCATACTAATAATAAAATTTTTGTGGGATTATTATAAGTTAAAAATATAAGATGTTCATAAGGCACTACTGACACGGCAAGTGAGTTCTCATTTGAATCTGCAGCCTTATACTATATATCGACTAGTATAATGCATCATTTGTTCAGTAGTCTCGACGAATAATTATTTAAAATACATGTGCACAGCTATTTTAAGCATGTGTGTGTTTGCTTCTGTTAAATCAATAATAAACTCATATTAATATCTGTTATATTCAGGAACTGACTTGATTCGTGCATCGCGCGAAGGATGGTTATCGCATGTTAAGTTCCTGCTACAGAACGTTGAAGATGAAGATGATTATTTCAAGAGTGAGTATGTTACCATGATTATCATACATTGCTATAGTATGTTACCTTGATTATCACACATTATTATAGTATGTTACCTTGATTATCACACATTATTATAGTATGTTACCATGATTATCACACATTACTATAGTATGTTACCATGATTATCACACATTATTATAGTATGTTACCTTGATTATCATACATTATTATAGTATGTTACCATAATCATCACACACTATTTAGTATGTTACCATGATTATCACATATTATTATAGTATGTTACTGTAATAATCACCCAACTGCTACTCTCCTTACTCAATTAACACCCCAGCTTAACACTGCTTGCCAGATCACTGTGACCCTCACTAAACTTTCAGCTAATATTAAACTGAAATATTAGATGGGGGGAAGCAACAAAATGAAGGGTTATTAATTTTAAATAATGAATAAAACTGAAATTTACACTTCCACCTTCCTGATACCTGAATGTGTCCGGATCACTGAATGTGTCCGGATCACTGAATGTGTCCGGATCACTGAATGTGTCCGGATCACTGAATGTGTCCGGATCACTGAATGTGTCCGGATCACTGAATGTGTCCGGATCACTGAATGTGTCCGGATCACTGAATGTGTCCGGATCACTGAATGTGTCCGGATCACTGAATATGTCCGGATCACTGAATGTGTCCGGATCACTGAATGTGTCCGGATCACTGAATGTGTCCGGATCACTGAATGTGTCCGGATCACTGAATGTGTCCGGATCACTGAATGTGTCCGGATCGAAGGGCATAGGAATCTTGGTAATAATGCTTGGGGATTAATTATATGAATCTTTACTTACTGAGGATTCAAGGGGAACTTTAATACCATCAAATGGAGAACACTGGGGAATTTCCAGTACAGCACATAAACAGAACATATAAAAACGACTCAACAATAATAAAACGGGGGAACAGATAACTAAACAACACAAATACATTAAATAGAACTTTATTTAACATATGACACGTTTATTTATATCAAACGAAAAATATATCCTACTCTAAATATATCCCTAAGAGGCAATATAACCGGAGTGCAATTACTTTGATGTCTCAAAACTCAGACACACATTATCTTACTCCAGCAAGAACCGGCCACAGATGTTGACTGGCTTCCTTCAGATCCCCTGGACCCGTTCCCAAGTCAAGACCAAGAAACACTGACTAATATTTTCTTAGACAACCCCAGGAAGGCCGACCGTTTTCCTGACAAGCTTGGCTCTGTGCTAATTGCGCCAATCAATTCAAACCAAAGCTGGATGTCCTGGACATTTGGCCAATGGATGTCTAGTATTACCCTGGGGGACTCCGCCTCTTGAGTCTTTGGTGAACCAGTGCCATGAACCTAACCCCGCTTCCCAGGCCTCCCTGGCTTTCAACCAATCAAGCTCCAGGCTAGGCTATAGGCGTGTTCTTAAGGGTCTGTTTCTCATGACAGAATTCTCAATCGTTCCAACGCTCACATCCAAGAAACCCGGGACAGGAAGTATGGATAAGGCACCCGGCTGAGTTCTATTGGGCCCTCAATTTGTCAATGGCTATAGAGAAGAGGCCGGGGAGAGAGGGGGACGGTAAGAGAGGAGGATTGGGAGGAGGATTTGGGAATGGGATTGGGGCAGAAGGGGACAAGTGACCTGCGAAGGTCTCACTTGATTAAGGGAAACTTGACTCGAGTTTTATGACCGGTGATGCCGGCTCGACAACAGGGGAGGGGGAAAGGGGAAGGAGGGCTGAGGCACGGGGGAGGGGGGGGGAGGGGGGGGGAGGGGAGGGGGAGGGGAGGGGGAGGGGGAGGGGAGGGGGAGGGGGAGGGGGAGGGGGAGGGGGAGAATGACCAAGGAAGGAGATAGCAAACGAGGAGAAGGAGAAAGGGAAAGGGGAAGGGGGAAGGGGGAAGGGGAAGGAGGGCTGAGGCACGGGTGGGAGGTGGATAATGACCAAGGAAGGGGGCGGCGAACGAAGGGAAGGGGAAGGGGAAGGAGAAGGGGAAGGAGAAGGGGAAGGGGGAGGGGAAGGAGAAGGGGGAAGGAGAAGGGGAAGGGGAAGGGGAAGGAGAAGGGGGAAGGGGAAAGGGGAGAAGCTATGGTCTGTGCAAAAGATCATTACATAACCATGATTATCACACATTAAATATGTTACCATGATTATCACACATTATTTTAGTATGTTACTATGATTATTATAGAATGTTACAATGATTAGCACACATTATTATAGTGTGCTTCCATGATTAGCACACACAATTATTGTTTGTTACCCATGATTATCACTCTTTATTACAGTATGAGTAATACCATAATTATCACATACTATTATAGTGAGTATATTACCATGATTATCACAAATTAATATAGTGTTTATATTACTATCATTATCACACATTATTATAGTGTGCATATTACCACGATTATCACACATTATAGTATGTATGTTGGCATAATTATCACACATTATAGTATGTATGTTGGCATAATTATCACACATTATCCTTGTATGTTGCCATGATTATCACACATTATTATAGTGTGTATGTTACCATAACTATCACATTAATATAGTAGGTATTGTAAGGTCGAGCAGGAATCACCCTCGACTATCCCGGACAAATCCCACTAAACGTTCTGATATAATATGGTGCTGAGGTCAACTGTCCGGAACTGATGAGGTTTGTCGCACTCTCTTACATTAAAATAAAGGGGAATCACTAGTTAACTTCTGGGTTCTTGAGGTTAGCTTGAGATGATTTCGGGGCTTTTTAGTGTCCCCGCGGCCCGGTCCTCGACCAGGCCTCCACCCCCAGGAAGCAGCCCGTGACAGCTGACTAACACCCAGGTACCTATTTTACTGCTAGGTAACAGGGGCATAGGGTGAAAGAAACTCTGCCCATTGTTTCTCGCCGGCGCCTGGGATCGAACCCAGGACCACAGGATCACAAATCCAGCGTGCTGTCCGCTCGGCCGACCGGCTCCCTGGGAGGGAAAGGCAGCTACTTTTTCCTAAGTCAACGTCGGGAAAACATCGAACCAAGGCATGGGAGAATCGCACTGACCACCTGTTGCCGCTCCTGTCGACTCTGCCGCCCCTCCAATATAATCAGCTGCTCCTTGAGCCCACATCAACCCTGAAATGATGTAGTCTGTAGCATCCCCAGTCAGGGGATGCTACAGCTGGGTGGAGCGACGTCATCGACACGGGCCATGCAACAATTATGTAACCACAAGGAGCAACTTAAACGAGCTGCCGCTTCTTGTTCCGACTTCAAGCGCTTTGCTGATAACCCAAGGTTCAAGTTATTAACCCAAATACATGAAGAGCAAATGTCAGTAATCCAAGAGCAGTCGGCCATAATAATGAACCTTCGAGGGGAAGCTATAGCCATGCTGAAGAATAATCAAGATCTGTCTACCAGAGTTAACCTCCTCGAACAAGAATTAAGTTCTCTTAAGACCTGGTACACAAGAATTAAGTTCTCTTAAGACCTGGTACACAAGAATTAAGTTCTCTTAAGACCTGGTACACAAGAATTAAGTTCTCTTAAGACCTGGTACACAAGAATTAAGTTCTCTTAAGACCTGGTACACAAGAATTAAGTTCTCTTAAGACCTGGTACACAAGAATTAAGTTCTCTAAAGACCTGGTACACAAGAATTAAGTTCTCTTACGACCTGGTACACAAGAATTAAGTTCTCTTAAGACCTGGTACACAAGAATTAAGTTCTCTTAAGACCTGGTACACAAGAATTAAGTTCTCTAAAGACCTGGTACAAATTGGTACAAATAACAGCAAAGTTCGTGTTAAATTAGATAGCTGCTCCCGCAAATCAGACCTTATCAGAGTCGCAGTCTCTAGGAAACCCACTGTTTATGTGAGTGAATATCTGACCAGATCCAGGCAAAAACTCTTATTTAAACTGCGCGGAATCTGCAAAAATTCCCCTGCAATTAAACATTGTTTTGTGCGAGATGGTAAAATTATAGCTAGGAAGACTGACACTGGAAAAACCTATGTAATAACCAATTGAGGCACACCTCAATTCTTTCCTGGATGACTGTGGGATAACAGCTGAACAACCAGAATATCAATTATAGTCTCATCTAACTACCAAAGTGTACTATAGCTCTGCCTTTCCTTTCAATTTTTTTTTATTTTGTACTAGCTGTACCCGGCCACGCATTGCTGGGGCTCAGCAACTCATGTGCGTTGCTGAGCCATAGCAAGCTTCCTCTGTCTCCCAGTTCTCCCCACCATTCCCCCCTTCCCTGTCTCCCTTGTCCTCTCAACCATTCCTGACTCTCTGTCCCCTCGTCCTCTCAACCATTCCTGACTCTCTGTCCCCTCGTCCTCCCAACCATTTCTGACTCTCCCGTCCCCTCGTCTTCCCCACCATTTTCTCCCTTCCCGATCCCTTTGTCCTCCCGACCCTCCCCCACTCCACCGTCCCATTGTCCTCTTAACCCTTCCCAACTCCACCGTCCCCTCGTCTGCCCCACCATCTCCCACGCCCCGGTCTCCTCGTCCTCCGTACCATTCCCCCCCTCCCCTGTCCCCTCGTCTGCCCCACCATCTCCCACTTCCTCTGTACCCTTGTCCTACCCATCATTTTCCATTCCCCTTTCCCTTCATCCCTATTATCTTCCAATTTTCCCGTCCCCTCGTCTCCACTCCCAAATTATTCCCCCACTCCCTCGTCCAATGCTTTCCCAAATAATCTGATGTTCCCATTAGAAAATTGGGGACATAAAATGATATGATGTTCACAACACTGAAATACAAGAAAAACAGGGAAAAAAACGAATTGAAAAACAATGAAAAAATATTATAATAAATTATACTCACGAAATGAATGGTATGGTAAACAATACAGCTCAATTCAAACGTAATGTCACATAAAATAATTGTATAAATTGAAAATAAATCGAAATTTATGAAAATTCTATTTATAAATGTAATCGGAAAGGTTGAAATAG